TTTGACCAGTTTCTTATTCTTGTTGAGTTTTTTCAGCGCTTCAATGTCCATGTGGGGGATGTCCACAGCCTTGGCTTCATCACAGTGCTGCTGATCCCCAAGAACACACACAGAGAACTTGGGGCGTGGGGTGGACTTAAGCCTGTGTTTCGGGGAAACAAATCCGGTGACTGTTGGCCTCGGGTGACTAGCACAGGTGAAGGGGTCTGGGACAGCAGCCGTGAAGCCTTACCCAGAGTGTCCACATCACCAACAGCTAGTCTGGCTTCTCAAACTAGCCGGCGGGATCGGCCAAGGCCTCCCCACGCCTCCCCTCATGTTTTAAGACCCAGGGTGGGGGTCCGCTCAGCCACTCCTGCCTCGAGCGGGTGGTCTGAGCTACCCTGGCTCATCAATGCCGCTGCGGCTGCCTCGAGCTCGTCAGCAGGAGCCCGAAGGGGAGACGACAGCCACGGGGGCACTGAGGGCTGGGTGGGGTAAGAACGGTGCCAACCTGACGGTCCCAGAGAAACGCTTGTCCTTTTGAGGGTCATAGTTCTTCAAACTGATCTGCAGCTCCACAGTCTCCAAAAACCTTATGGAAAAAGAAAACAGGGTCAGGAAGCCCCGGCCCGACTTCTCCAAATCACCCCCGGCCTGGCGCCATCGCGGGCGGCCCGCACTCACTTTCTGCGTTTGCGCTGGTTCCCGTGCAGGACTTCCCGCACCGCCTCGTAGAGGGTGTCGCGAGAGACTTTGCTGCTGTGAAAGGAAAGACAGACAACGCTCAGCGCGGTGGGCGTCTCGGAGACCTTCCCGTCTCCAAAACTCGAGCCCAGAATGGAGAACAAGTTGGGGCTTTGAGCCAGACAAACCCATGACCCGAGGAACGAGCCCTCGCTGGGGACCGATCCGGAGGAGGGAAGCCTGGCCCCGAACAAGAAATGATCCACTATAAAGCCTGACAGAAACCTCCAGATTTCACCCGAAGTGCTCTAATTCCCAAAAGAGCGTCTAAAGGAGGAGATAGGCGTAGATTGGGCTTTAAGCACCACTAACCTCATGGTTGCTAGCGCCGCAGTAACCGGAAAAGAGAGTGGTACTTGTCGCACATGCGCTCAAATAGGAGCCTTGTTCTCGCGAGAGTTCTCTTGTTTGTACGGTTTTTCCAAGACAACGCACTTTGATCGCTTAGTCAGGAGCACTTCGGCCTACGACCACTGGAGGGAGCAGCCGCGCGTCCCGTGGAAGCGAAGCCAGCGCGCAAGACCTCGCTGGAAAGCTTTATTCTGCAAGGCACGCTGAGCACTAGGCTACGCAAGGGTTGGCTCCACGGTTGTTTTGAGGATTAGTAATCCCTCCTACTGATTGTGAAGACATTTTTTACTATTTTTGTTGTTAGGTGCCGTCAAGTCGAGTCGAGTATGATTTATAGCGACCGTATGAACATGAACAGCCAACCTGAACCCTGTTTTATCCTGTGTCATCCTCAACATCTCTGACACACTGGAATCCCACTGCTGAAGTCACTGTGTGAATCCAGTCCATCTCATTGGAGGTCCTCCTCTCCTTTACTGACTCTCCATTTTTCCAAGCATGATGTCTTTCCAAGAAATAGCCTCGCCTACCTATATGTCCAAAGAATGAAAGACGAAGTTTCTCCATCTTGGCTTCCAAGGAGCACTCTGACTGCCCTATCTCTAAGACACTTCTGTTTGTTCTTTTGACAGTCCATAGGATATTCAGTACTCTTCTCCAGCATTAAAACTCAAAGGCAAGGACGACTGGGTAAGATGGATGCCACGTAGAGATCTCCAGGGATGACAGAGGAACATACCTGAGAAGCTTAACCCAGGATTTCCCCACAGTGCAGTTTTCATCTACAGCTAGTGCCCTGAACATGAACTTCCAGCTTCCAAAACCCTGAGAAAGTACATTTATCTATCGCCTCATATAGGTGGTTCCCAAGTTACTGGTGTTCTGACAACTCGGCACCAAGTCAGTTCTGTTTAAATAGAAGTTTATTGGGTTTTTGTGGGCTTTCCAAAATTGTTTTCAGGTGTTTTTCCTCTGGTCTGTCTCTCTCTAAATCAAGGAATCCTGCCTGGGAGCCCCTTAATAAAGCTTCTTTAGCTTAAAAAAATTGTTTTCATTATTATTTTTTGTGCATGTACGGTCAAATCAGATCTGACTGGTACAGGAGGAGATAGTCCCTCCTTCTCCAGCAGAACATCTGGTGGATTTGAACTGCACACCCCTGGGATTACAGTGCAACTTCTTGCCACTTAGGCCACCAGAGCTCACTTGTTTTCATTACTATTGCCTTTTATTATCGCTGTCTTCATAAATCTGATTTGTATTTGCCTGTAGGGAGTGGAAAGATTACATTAAAAGAACAACACTAAAAAACCCTCAAAGGCATCTTCTGTCATCCTGGCCTGAATCAGGTGCACCTTAGTCTTAGCATTTGGAGAGGTTCCCTGACAGCCGACTTGGCCAGTGCAATATGTCTCCTGATTTCCTGACTGCTGGTGTCAATGGCGTTGATCGTTGATCCAAGCAGGATGAAATAACAGCTTCAATCCTTTATCCATCTATCATAATGCTGTTGCTCCTGTAGTAAGGATCTTCCATACTGAAGGCTGTAGTCCTTGACTACCAAGTGGTTCATATTCTCACCTTCAGCAAGCAAAGTTGTGTCATCTAAATAATGCAGGTTGTTGATGAGTCTTCTTCCAATCCTGATGCCACAGTCTTCCCAATTTGCTCAACACACAGATCAAATAGGTATGGAGAAAGGATACAACCTTGACGCACACCCTTCTTGATTTTAAAGCAGGCAGTGTTCCCTTGCTCTGTGTGGACAACAGCTTCTTAATGTAGGTATAGATTCCATATGAGCATACTTAAGTGTTCTGTATGAGCACAATTTTGACTGTGTGGATAATAATAAACTATGGATAACATTGAGAAAAAAAAGAATTCCAGATCACTTAATCCTGCTCATGTGGAACTTGTGCTTAGACCAAGAAGCAATTGTACAGAACAAGGGGGTACTGCATGATTTAAAATAAGGTCTATGACTGTACTGCCTTGCCAGTCTCATCGAAAATCAGGACAGGTGTGTATCAGAGTTGTGTCCTTTTCATCTCACTTTTAATCAATCTGCTGAGCATAGACCTGAAGATGCTAGACTCTGACGGAAGTGCCATCAGGTTTGCACTCATGAACTAGCTGTATTATGCAAATGACACTACCTTGCTTGCATAGAAGGATGAGAGCTTGAAGCACTTGCTGAAGATCAAAGATAAATCTGTACTAAAGCCTCAACATGAGCTTAAATCTGTCAAGGACCTTTTCAAAGTGCTAAGGAACAATGATGCCAGTTTAAAGACTAAAGTGTGCTTGATTCAAGCCGAAGTCTTTTCAATTACTTCCTATTCATCCGAAAGTTGGACAATGAATGATGACAGAAAAATCAATGCCTTTGGATTGTGGTGGCAGAGAATATACCATGTTGTTATTGCAATCTGGCGGGTTTCCAGAGGCAATTAATCGCACAGGAGATTGCCCATCTTTCTCTTGCAGAGCAGGTGGTGGCCTTGAACCATGTGCCTTTGGGGTTGCAACAGTTTCTTGCCACTAGGCCACCAGAGAATGTACCGTAGACTGCCAAAATAAACAAGTCTGTTTTGGAAGAAGCACAATCAGGGTGCTCCTTAGAGGGAGAGATGGTGAAACTCTAACGTACTTGGGGCACATTGTCAGGAGGGCCAGTCCTTACAAAATGACATCAAGCTGGGAAAGATGGAGGGTCGGAGAAAGAGAGGGAGATCTCTAACAAAATAGACACAGTGGGCCTGAGCAGATCAGGGATGGTGAGGATGGTGCAGAGTAGGGAGGGTTCAGATCTGTTGTTCAATGATTTGCTATGACGTAGTCATCAAGTCGTAGTCAACTAGATGGCACCAAAAAACAAAGGACAAGGATGTCAGTTTAAAGAACAAGGTATTTCTGACTCAGGTCAAGGTATTTTCTGTTACTTCATAGGCATATGAAAGTTGGACAAGGAATAAGTCAGGCCCAAAAAATAATTGATGCTGAATTGTGGTATTGTTGTTATGTACTATCTAGTAGGAACCAACTCATAGCTGATCTTCTAACAGATTTTCAGGGGTATTAAATCACACAGAAAGTGACTGTCCATTTTTCTCTTACAGAGTGGCTTATAAGCTTGAAATATGTGCCTTTGGGTCAGCAGAGCAACTCCTATCACTAAGCCACTAGAGCTTCTCATTCACTGCAGAACATGCAGTGGACTGCCAAAAAGAGCAAGCAGTTCTTTCGTGGGAGAAATAGTCAGGGTGCTCCTCAGAGCCAAGGACGGTGAGACTTCATCTCCCATACTTTGGGCATGTTACCAGCAGGGGCCTGTCCTTAAAAGTGGACACCGTGCTTGGAAAGGCAGAGGGTGAGAGGAGCTGGACTAGCACAGCGGCTGTAACAACAGGCTTAAGGACAGTAGAGACTGGGAGGATAGCACAGGATCGGGCAGGAAATATTCCAAGTAAGTCCTTAGTGAACTTGCTGGTTTTAATGAAATTCCTTTGGTCAAGTTAGATATACAAACAGTGGTGCTAAGCTACTTTTAATTACAAGAGTTTTCTGTTGAGTACACAGGTCCCCTGGGGCTCCTGGATTAAGAGGCATCTGCTCAGACCCTTTGGTGGCCTTAACACAAAAGTTTCTGTTCCTGGGACCTGAGGCAGAAATGACGAGGACTGAACTCAGGGTCAGCAGCCCCGAAAGAAATGACAGCTCATCCAGCTCCCTTAACCCAGGGGCAGCCCTGCTGACTGGAAGCCAAGACGTCCTTCCTCTCCGGAGTCTGGGAAACGAGGTCCATGAGAGGGCCAGGTTCAGCTTTCCCCTTAGGCAAGGGGTGAGGATGAGTTCATGAGGACAGTGTCCTTCAAGAATCTGGGGAGGGAGCTCCCTGAGAATGGCCTCTTGGTGCATGGTCAGGAAGTCAGATGTTTCAGGGCAGCCTGCAGAGACTTCCTCAGGAAAGTGGTGTTGAGCTCTAAGGCCTTAGCTAGGCCCAGCCTTTGGGACTCAGTGATCTGGAAAGAAGGAAAAATTATGTTAGGACTTCAGCAGCCTGTTCCTCTTGTCAAGGATTCAACTGTGCCCAAAAAATACATGTATATAATGATATAAGATGGAAACCATGTAATGATTCCCCACAATCGGATACACTAAATATTTGTAAAAGTATTGTTGTTGTTGTTGTTATGTGCCATTGAGTCGCTTGCGACTCATAGCGACCCTATCTACAACAGCCCTAAACTCTGCTCTGTCCTGTGCCAATCTCATTGCCTCAAACACGATTGCCACAGTCACCGAATCAATCCGCCTCCCAGAGGGCTTTCCCTTCCTGAGCCTGCCCTCCACCCTCCCAAGCATGATGTCCCTTTCCATGGACCGGTCTCTCCTTACAACATGACCAAAGTATGTCAGACGAAGCCTCAGAATCCTTGCCTCCAAGGAGCAGCCTGGTTTAACCCTCTCCAGGATGAATCTGTTTGTTCTCTTAGCAGTCCATAGCACCTTCAGCACTCTTCTCCAACACCAAAGCTCAAAAGCATCAATTCTCCTTCTATCCTCCTTGGTCATTGTCCAGCTCTCTGATGCAGAACAAGTGATTGCAAAGACCATGGCCTGTATCAGACACACCTTTGTCTCCAGAGACACACCGTTGCTGTAAAAGTATTAGGGGTGAATATAAGGCCCCTTAATCCCATCATAGCCCTCTAACACATTTTATCTCACAAGAGCCCAAAAGGGAAGAAAGTCAGTCAAGAGTGGGGACCCTCAGTACCACCAGGGGAAAACAGTCAGAAGTGGAGAGTGTTCTTTCAGACTTAACACTGGGGAAGGCCAGATGCATGGAGATCTCCAGAGAGCAAACTGGCCTACAGAAGCGGAAGGAACACAAGATCTATCCTTAGAGCTGCACCCTGAATTTGGATTTCCAGGCTTTTAAAAGGGGGCTCTGGTGGCACAGCCCACAGGGAGTTCCATTGCCAGCTCAAAGGTTGTGCCTCTCTAGCAGTTTGAGTCCATCAGTGGCTCAATGGGCGAAAGATGGGTAATCTCTCTTGCAATCTTCTGCCTCAGAAACCCAATAAAAGGAGATCAGATATGAATCTATCCCTACTGAACAACAATGAGTGGCTCCTAGACTGTAACAGAATATCATTCTGTTTGCAAAAGTCATCTACTTGTGTTATCTGTTATGTTGTTGTTATGTGCCATCAAGTCACCTGCGACTCATAGCGACTTTTTGGACAAAGAGCCCTAAACCCTGTTCTATCCTGTGCCAATCTTATTGTCTCTGACACACCTACCCCCATTATCCCAGTCACTGAATCAATTCATCTCATCCAGGGTCTTCCTCTCTTGTGCTGTCCCTCTACCCTCCCAAGCATGACATCCCTTTCCAAAGACTGATCCTGCCTTGCAACCTATCCAAAGTATGTCAGATGAAGCATCAGAATCCTTGCCTCCAAAGGGAAGCCTGGTCTCACCCTCTTTAGGATGAACCTGTTTGTTCTCCTAGCAGTCCATGGTATATTCAATACTCTTCTCCAGCACAACAGCTCAAAGGCATCAATTCTCCTTCTATTATCCCTAGTTATTGTCCAACTTTCTGATGCATAGCAAGTAAGTGCAAAGACTATGGCCTGGATCAGGTGCACCTTAGTCTCCAGACTGATATTGTTGTTCTTCAGTACTTTGAAGAGGTCTCTGACAGCAGACTTTTATAGCAGCTTTAAATAATGAAGAAGACACATCTCTTTTCTTCCCTTTGCCCCATGGGCTCAGTTTTGGAAGGGCAGAGGAAGCCAGATGCAAAGATGATGGGAGAAGTCCACCCTTGACTAATGTATCCTTCCTCATTTCACATGGTTAAGCAGGAGTCAGATGGACATGTCCAGTCACCACTGTCCTGAGATGCTCCTGCCTAAATGCTCATCTGATCAACAAGTCAGTCCCCAGCTGAAGGCCCTCAGATGGCTCTCCATAACTGACACTGGTCCTCTGGTCTCTAGGGGATTCATGAGCCCCACGAAATTATGCATTTATTTCTGTTTCTCTAGATGGGGGGTAAGGAGTTAACCCAAAGGCACGTGGTTTGAATCCACTAGCTGCTCTGCAGGAGAAAAATGGGCCACCTCCTCCCAGGTCTGCTATGGGTCAGTTCCAACTCAACAATAAATAACAGCAACAACACAATCTTACCCCTTAAGGATCTCTGGTGGTAAAACCTGATGAGGGTTGGCTAGGGGCTAGCATCTACTTGGTAACAGTGAGTTTGGTTTTCTCAACTTTTATTCTCCAAGTAGCATAACATGCAGGTGTTAACTGAAAGGTCGCTAGTTCAATTCCACCAGCCTGGGTGAAAGGTCAGTAGTCTTCTCCCATAAATAGTTACAGCTTTGCTAACTTAATGGAGGGTTGCTATGAGTCAGAATTCACTTGACTGCTGAGTTTTTTGCTTTTGGAAACTTTACTCCCTGTCACCATCAGGTTTCTGGGCCCCGGGCACCCTAGCAATCGTAGATCCCCAGTCTACACATTTACATCACTTGCCTTTGCCTGTAATGCCATTTCCTGTCTCTAGCCTTTGACTACCTACCTTAAGAGCTAGGAAATCTTTCCCAACTTCCAACCATAAACAAGGCTTAAGTGCCCTCCTCCTCTGCTGCAAATACTCTGTGCTCACCTCCCATGTGGCTCTTTGCAGTTATTACAATCATCTTCCCCCCTTGCTCACTAGCCTAGAGTACAGCAAGAGATCAATTCAAGGACAGAAACTCCATTATGGTCACCCTAATGCCCACAGACCATCTGGTGCATGGAGCTGTTTGCTGGATGAGTGAGCTCCTGGGTAGTTCCGATGCCCAGTTTTCGGCTTAAATTAGTGGATGGATGAGGCCCTCCAGGGGCCAGTCCCCATGGCCCTATGGACACTCACAGTGGCCTGGTACTTGGTCATCACTGTGAGCAGGAGCTTGGCCAAGGGCATGGAGGTAGTGGCTGACAGTCCCTCCTCACAGAGCTTCTTCATCAGGACGTTGAACTTCTCAGGGGTCATTTCCACCTGTACACATTGGGGAAACAGAACAGTACACAAGAAAGACCTGGGTTCTTCATTCAGCGAGCTCTGGCTTTAATCCCAGCTCTACCACCTCCTGGCTGGGTAAAATGAGGCCCACAGTATCCAACTTTGAGGGTGGTAAAAAGGATTAAATGAGAGAGTACATACAGCACATACATCCCAGCACGTAGGGCTCAGAAAAAAATAGTGACTCCATGGCAAAGGTGCAGCCGAGGATGATGGGAGGGGAAGGATCCTTAGCATGGCTCACAAAGGACTGTGAGGTCATGCTAGAACAAAAGCACCTCAAAAAAATAGCTACCACGTGGCTAGACTAAGCATCAGGTTCATACAACAGGGCAGAGGTGCCCTGAGAATGGTGAGACTTGATCTCACAAGATTTTGGGCATGTGCTCTGAGGGACCAGTGTGTGAAGAAGGACATCACAGTAGTGGGTGATGTCCTTCTTGCAACAGTGAAGGCTGATGACCAAGAGGAAGACCCTCAGTGAGATGGACGGGCACAATGGCTGTGACTATGGGCTCAGGCAGAGCAGTGCCTGTGAGGACGGCTCAGCACCAGCAGCGTTTGGTTTTGCTGTACGCACGATCATTACCGATCAGAAGGAAGTCCACAAGCTTCCCTCAGAGGGCAGGAGCCTCTCTCCGCCTGCAGAGGGCGGGAAAGCCACACCTACTTTAGCAACTCCTGTGTCAAGGGCATGTTACGACAACACAACACATCATTCTGAGCACTTTGTATCAGTGATCTCATTTGAACCACATCAGTCTTAGGTGGTAGGGACTATCATTATGCTCCTTTAACAGATGAGGAAATTGGTCTAAAGACGTTAACTACCTAAGATAGACACAAATAACACAGAATATTAGGTACTCAAAGAGAGAAATCACCAAAATACATTGTAAAGTAGAAACAACAAAGATACATTGAGAATGGTATGTTGTTGTGTACCACTGAGTCAGAACCGACCCATAGCTGACACTCTGGTAGGTTTTCAGAGGCAGTTAATCACCATGGGAGGAGATTGCCCCTCCTGCTCCCGTGGAGCAGCTGGTGAAATCGAACCTTATACCTTTGAAATTGTAGCACAACTTCTTGCCATTAGGCCATGAGAGCTCCCGAAAACAACATATGGAGAAATCACCAAAATACATTGTAAAGTAGAAACAATGAGGATACAGTGAGACTGGGAAGTTAGGTGTCTATAAAAAGCAGAAAGAAAGTAAATTTATTCATGTTTCCTTTAATATATACATTATTTAGGGAGAATTCTCCTTAAACTAGCAATACTAGTCAGCCCTAGAGAAGGGACTCTCTTTTCCAGATGGCTGGGAGCCAGAAAGGAATTTTTTATTGTATATCTGTCAAACTGTAAACCATAAACAGCTATAGTCTATTAAAAAATAAAATTATAGTTGAATATATATGTCAAAATATGCCCCTCCTCCCCGCCCCACCCTGCCACATGGCTAGTAAGAGGTATTTACAGAGTGCTCTCTTTCAAGCCAGTGGTACTCCTGCTGTTACAGGCACCCTGACGTCCTACATATCCTTTCCCCAGGGAAGGAATCAAAGCCCAGGGTCTCTCCACAGCAATGCCACAAGTCCTTGTCCTCTCCTCCCCAAAGAATGCTCACCCGCTGCTCCAGGAGCGTCTGCAACACCAGGTAAGTCTCCTCTCTCCAGGGCAGCTCTAAGATCTGTCTGGAAACAGAGGTCTCAGTGAGAAAGCCACCCCCCATGCCAAGCCACAGCTCCTTCTGTGGGGACCACAGAGATGCCCAGAACAAGTGGTCAGAGCTACCTTCTGCTGCCACTGGTGCAGAGCTCAGATTTAGTGCTGGAGGTCCTAAGACCCTCCCAGGATCCCCAGAAACTGACAACAAAGGACTTTAGAATAAAGTATAAAAAGGTTCTCTAAAAAACAACCAGTTGTCCAAACTGTATCCTGAGTAAAAGCAGCAAGAGAGCCGGGGAACAGGATGCTGATGGAGTGAGGACACAAGAGGCTGCCCGGAGGTGAGCTTTCTCTGCAGAGCCCAGCCCGCACTGACGTCCACTCCACCTTGCTTCCTGTTCTACTGCACCTTGTTGGAAAAAGCAGCACAGCACAGTGGAGACAACATGGCTTCTTGCGTAGACAGACTCAAGTTTAACTCCACGCTTCAGCTCCTGCTGGCTCTGTGACCTCTGGGCCGGTCCTCTCTGAGGTTTAATGCTCCCATTTATAAGGGGCAACGAACCTCACAGGACTACAAGATTAACTGAGATAATGAATATAAAACAGAGAAGGCATCGGTGAGGGTAGCTGATGTCACCAATGAGGCTGCCCCTTCTTATATTATCCTTCAGGTTTTCCACTTCATGTCTGTGCCCATGAGGGTATCCAAAGGGCTTTCAGATGCTCTGCTGGAGAGGGAGGGGCAGTCTCCTTCTGTACCAGTCAGATCCGATTTGACGGTACACACACACAAAATAATAATAATAATAATAATAATAATAATAAATAAATTTTAAAAAATTTTTTAAAAAATTAAAGGGCTTAGTAAGTGCTTTTCAGGATGACATCTTCTCCCTGGTTTTTTAGGTTGAAATCTATGTATCATTTGTTTAGTGTTGAAATAAGTTTAATAAACCTTTTTTTTTTACACTGCCCATAGTTTATGGTTTGGGTTTTTTTTTTATATTTTATTATTTTTGTGTGAGTGTACCGTCAAATCAGATCTGACTGGTACAGGAGGAGATGGTCCCTCCTTCCCTGGCAGAGCATCTGGTGGATTCGAACCGTGCACCTCTGGGATTGTAGTTGCAGCTTCTTGCCACTAGGCCACCAGAGCTCCCCTCACTGCCCATAGTTTAATAAACATTTTGATTAATCTTCAATAACCTAAAAAGTGAATAACCTGACATTAAACTATATCAATTTAAGAAATCCATTCTAAAGGGAGCTTAGGTGGCCTAGTGGCAAGAAGCTGCACTGCAATCCCAGAGAGACACTGAATCCACCTGATGCTCTGCCGGAGAAGGCGGGGCAATCTCTCCTCCTGTACCAGTCAGATCTGATTTGATGGTACACACAAAAAATAATAATAAATAAATAAATTTTTTAAAAAAGAAATCCATTCTATACAGAGATACTATATATTGATTCTCTCAGAGTTTAATACTTTAGAATCAAACAGTTTAGTCTAAGACTTTTAGTAATTATTTTACAAAAGACTAATTTATGATACATACTAACAACATTCAATCTCTGTTTTGCCTAATAATAAAATATTGTTTTTTAAAATTGTTACTTTTTAAGTATTGTAAAGTTACTGAAACTTTGTTGTTCTCTTTAGAGTCACCTTGTTTAGAAAAAAATATTCTGTGCATTATTTGTTCTCATGCCTTACTGCATAAGGCCTATAGTCTATGCCTTTGATATCTATCTGGACACTTAAAAAATCCTTCTGAAGAAAAAAAAGTCCTTCTGTTGAGATTAAGGATTTTTGCATGAGGCTTTATGTTGACACAGAAAGAACCAAGTGAGGCTCATTCACAGGTCTATAAACATTGAAAGCATTTCTTCTTCAGTCAGAGTAGACTCTTGCAAAATAAGAGTCTTAGATTAAGAGTCTTCTCCTCCCATCAGCAAGTCTATCTAGTAACAGGGGAGCTCTGGTGGCACAGTCCTCAGGGAGCGGCACTGCTAACCTCAAGGTGGCACCTCTGGTGGTTCAAATCCACCAACAGCTCTGTAGGAGAAAGGCAGGCAATCACCTCCTGACAGAAGAAATTTTACAACCTCTGAAAACCTGCTGGAGGGTCAGCTAGAGTCAGTGTCTACTCAATGGCAAAGAGAACAGGGAGGAGGATTCAGTGAAAAGCTGATAAGCTGTCTAAAATCAAAAGAGCACAGAAAGGGGTGGCTACAAAACATAGTCTGTAGTGAGTAAAGAGTAAGAAGTAACTGGGAGCTATGATTTGCAGTACACCAAAAACAATCTTTCCAAGTAAGAGTTCTGGAAAAGTCTATGTTCAGGAACTCTAACAAGCCAAAGCATATCAAAGTAATAATGCTTCAATAAATAAGATGTCTATTTCCAGTCTATCTTCTGACTTTGTAAACACTGCGGCAAAGTCTTTGTATGTATTATCACATTTACTCTCCAAAAAATACCTATCAAGTGATTACTATATGGGGAAAATGAGGTTCAGACAGATGAAATAACTTGTTTTCACACAACTACATAAAAGGCAGGGATGAGATCTGAAGACATGTGTAACTCCAAACCCAGGGCTCCTAACCACAGTGCCATATTCCAACTACCCTGTCAACTGTTCACGAGCGGGAACCATCAACTTCCTCTGTGTCCCCAACATGTCTGGCACACAGTCAGCCCTCATACCTAGGCAGGGCAGAATTAAGGCAGGCTGCAACCCTGGACTGGGAAGGAACATGGGATGGCAACTTGCATGAAGTCACAAAGTGGGAAGACATGAGCCAGGTTCAGGCAACAGGAAGAGGGTGTTTGGCTGAGTTACAACCCATCTTTGCCTAACCTGCTCCAACCCCGGAGTGCCAGAAGCCAGTACTCAGGGAGGTGGTAGTAGGAACAGAGACAGCATGGAGGGTTATCACTCACCCCAGCATCAGAACCTGTGCGTCTGGCTCCAAAGCCTTCATAAGGCAGCACAGCAACTCTGTTTGAGCTGGACCTGAATAAGAGTGAAGGGGAGCAGTCTATGTGAAAATGGCAGGACAGGATGGGACTCGGGGATTAGGGGACTACCCAGGCCATACTGGAAGAATCATCAGGGAAGTAAAAGGTATATTTACCCACTGAATATATTCCTCCTGCCAGGGCAAGAGGCCACTTCAGGGGTGATAGAAACAGAGCAGGCAGACCAACCAGCCCAATGGCCAGTTCCAGAATTACCTAAACCTGGAGCCTGGAGCATGGGGCCAACAAGGGTTCTGCAGACTGGATAGGTATACTTTGCACAGAAGGAGGTTAGGGCAGTTGTGAGCAGGCGGGAGGCGGAAGAAGTCAGGGAGAGAATCTACAGACAAGGGGGAAGAAAAAAAAATAAATAATTCACTAATGTCTTCTTGCTCAGATCCACAATCAACACTCTTGGCACCAACAGTCAGGAAATCAAAAGATGACTTGCTTTGGGGAAATCTGCTGTCAAGGACCTCTCCTGAGTGCAAAAGAGCAATGATGTCAGTCTAGAGATTAAGGTCTGCCTGATCCATGCCATGGTTTTCTCAATTCCTTGTTATCCATCTGAGAACTGGACAATGAATAAAGATGACAGAAGAAGAATCAATGCCTTTGAGTTGTGGTGCAGGGGGAGTACTGAACATACCATGGGCGACCAAGAGAACCACCAGGTCTCTCCAAGAAAGGGCAAAACCAAGTTGCTCCTTGGAGGCAAGGATTCTGAAACTCTATCTCACATACTTTGGGCATACTGCCAGGAGGGACCAGTCTTTGGAGAAGGACATCACGCTTGGAAGGGTAGATAGCATAGGAAAGGAAGACCCTTGAAGAGGTGTATTGACACAGCGACTGGCAATGGAGTCAGCTACATCAGAGATGGTGAGGTGGGCCCAGGACAGGGCAAGGTACAAAATCATTGTTCACAGGGTCGCCTAACAGCACATAATAACAACAAAAATATGTGTCTTTCCTTCCTCAAATGTTTTCTAGAACCACGTTTCAGACCGTAGTAAGTATTACAGAGGAAAAAAACCCAACCAAGTTCTTTTAACTGAGAGTCATATTCGAGCTTCTAGAAAAGTTCAGGGCCCAGGGGAGAACCATTAGATGCCATGTGGGTAGATACCCAGGCTCTCTTTCCTTGCCCCAGGCTGCCCTAATGGGCTGTCTATATAGCAGAGAATTCCTTCAGCCCTCCCCTTCTGAAGAGTTTAGACCACCCTATCATCCCTGGTGTTCCAAGTTACCTCCTAATCGACCTACCCGTTCAAGAAAGAGGCTCTTGGTCAGCACGGTGGCGCTGCTGTAGCTGAGGTCTGGTGAAAGAGCAAGCAGCCAGGAGCAGAGCTGCAGGAGACCTGTGTCTGAGAGCTGGTGGAGCTGCAACTGTGCACATATTAGGTCCACCTGCCAGCAGAGAGGGGAAGGGAAGGAGGCAGAATACTGAGACACTCTCATCTCTAGTCTGTCTGTAGCCAACGTGACAGTAGAAGCAGCAGGACAAGGGCATCCAGGTAAGGGAAGGTTGAGAACTGCCCTAGGTGGGAGGAACCCAGGGCTAAAAGAAACCACTGAGGGTGACCTCTCCTACTGAGGGACCACAGAACCCAAAAAAAATTACTTCCCCAAATCCCTACTTGAGATAAGAAACAAATGAAAAAAGAGAAGGAGGTGTGACTCAGCTCAAGGTGTCTTTTCTGGACTCACCTGGCTGGGACTGCATTCATGGAGAAGCTGCAGCTCAACTGGTGGCGCATCCTCTAAGCCCTGAGGAGACAAAGCCAACATCAGGGCTGCCGGAGTTCACTGAGGAGCAGCAGTGGGGGCTTCAGTTCCTGAAAGCACTATCAGAGAGGACCTTGCGTGGTGGTAGATGGCACACCTGTACTTGGGCCAAGAAAAGCTCCTGCAGTGACTGCCCTCAGACCCTCAGTCCACCCTGAGTTGCCTTCTATAATCCCCTCTTGCCAATCTGGGTCTCACTGCATTGGGGCTTCCCTGAGCAATGTTGAGGTTCCAAGCACAAGGTGGAGGAGGGCTATGGTAAGCAGGGCAGGGACTGAGTTACCTCTCCCAAGGTCTTCAGCAGCTGCTGCAGCCTCAGAAGCTGGTCCTGTGGAGAGTATGATCAGTGTAAAGGCCTTACTTCCACAGCAGCACCCCAAGCCCAGGATTAGCTCCCTCTCCTGAGAAGGTCCCAGACCAGTGCAAAGACAGTTCAAGAAAATCAACAATTTATATTGAAAAGCACTTAAGAATTCAAACTAGATAAGATCTATGTATGAAAGAAACTCAATGGTCTGGACTTGTATTTTCTGCACCCAATTGTGATGGGGTAGATGCAGGCCTTGGACTGAGACACTCATCCCCAGAACAAGGTGCTAGACATGGTCCCTGGGCCTTTCCGCTTTCCTAGCACCCTTAATGTGCTCCGTTACAAGTCTTCAGGATGAGTGTTCAAACATCTAGTAGCTCCTTTCTCCTTGGAATCTGTGGAGACTAGATTATCTGACTGTTCTTTCCCAAACAAATCCCACTCTTGAAGGCTCATTTCAAACCCAGCCTCCCTAGCCTAGTACCTGGACAGCTTCTGGCAACTCCACATTCTCAGCCAGGTCCATAGCATTGTCCACATGCTGACCAGCTTCGCTGGTCTCAGCTCCCCCTGCAGGCTGGTTCTTACTGGGTGATGCACCTTCCTGATCTACCAGGCATTCCGATGATTCCAGCTCAGCTCTCTCCTCCTGATTCTCACCCTCCTCTTTTTCCAAACACCGAAGCCTTTTAGGGGCACTCTCCTGCTCAGGACTGGCAGGCTCCTCCTCTGGCTCCTTCTTGCGTTTCCCAGATTGCTGGAGATCCAGGTCTTCCTCTTCCTTTTCTTTTTCCTCTTGGGGATCTGGAGCCTGAAGCAACTTCAGCCTCCTGCTTCTCTGGCCCAGCCGCATACACAGTTCTCGGAGCTGTGTCTGACACGTTGTGGACAGAGGCGATGTTCCCTCAACAGTCTCTCCAACTCCCAAATCCCTCTGCAGTAACACCCCTAGAGCTCTTAGCCAGGGGTCAGGGTCTTGTTGGACAATCTGTAGCACAGGGAGGACCTTGTTTTTGGGTAGTGATGGCCCGACAGCCATCAGCAGGGACATCAGGTTCCTCTGACATAAGATGGGCAATTGCAGCAGCAGTGGTTTCCTGGGTGAAGGGGAGCAAACAGTTAGTATCTTGCTGAAGCAAACACAGGACAGAGAACTACAAAGGGCCCTGTGGACAGAGAGGGGGTCAGCATGGGAGTCATTCAATAAGCACTCATGGAGCATCTTGTTCAAAACGTCATTGATATATTCTATTTCAGCTAAAAAAAATCATGTTGGAACCTACTTTGTAATAGTTCCAAGATTGTTCTATGTGAAAACTCCCAACTATTTTTGTGTGCTTCCTTTCTTTGAGCACGTGCGTATAATGTACACGTAAATAAGCCTATGAGTCGCAGGCGACTCGACGGCACATAACAACAACAAATAAGCCTATAATGGAAGCACCTGTCCATTTATTTTAGTAATGGAAGTTCGCTATTAAAATCATTTTACTCCACGTGTTTTTGTATCTTTGGTGTCTAGGTGCCTGTCACACAGGACGGTCCTCGCCATCGGGTGCGCGGCATGGCCAGGGCTCCTTCATGAGCTCTCGCTGAGAGCAATCCTTCAACCTTCTCTCTGCTCATTTCTTCAGCTAGAAAAGGGCGGCAGGACGATGAAACGAGCAGTAACAGTAGGAGCGGCGACAAGCAGGGGTGGAAGGGCCGCGAGCGGAGACTTACAGCTCGAGGCGGCACTCGGGGCCCGCCAGCACCGGCTCCTCCCGGCACAGCGCCTCCAGGAAGCGGCCCCAGTCAAAGGGCTCCCCGCTGCGACTGGCCAGCGTCTGCAGCACTCGGAGGCCACCCCGCGTCCCCTCGGGTCCCGCCTGCAGCGCCTGCAGTAGGAGGCGTGCGGGGCCCTCCAGCAGCGCCCAGGGAGCCCGATCCCTGTCCTCAGCCAGAGGGGTCGCCATGCCCTGGGGACGGGTGGCGCACCGCGCTCTGGTTTCGCGCCTCAGCGTGGAGGCTTAGGAAGGAAATGCGCTCTTCCCTGGTTCTGATGTGCACGCAGCTTCTGTTTAGAGGCCAATGCACTCCCCTCAACTTTGGAGAAACCACCTCAAAGCCCTAGACCTGACGCCGGACAGTCCGAAGTTTCTAGTACGGAAGAGAAGCAAGGAGGTGGGGCTGGAGGTGGGAGCGGGGCGGTGATGTCAGACCGGAAGGGGCGGGACATATAGAGACTTCCCTCCCTTGATAGGAGGAATAGTAGTAGGCGGTAGAAGTGTAGAGTTCCAAGAATCCGGCAGAGGGCGCCAAAGTGGTGCAGAGCCTCCCACTGATTTAAAGGGGCAGGATGGAGGTCTTGGGAGTGGCATTTTAACTGATACATACAGTTGCTTGCAGATAATGGGCTTCATGATAATATTTGACCACCATTTACAAGATTTGACTACCATTAACTATTGAGCCTTTTCATCTCTTCTACAGGTCGAATGATGGGGCCATTTTGGTTTCAAACCTCTTCAGAAGGATGTATCTGATGTGCAACTGCCCCCAAAAATGGGGCTGCAAGAAGATCTAAGGCCATCATTATGGCCAAAAGCTTTGCTATGAACTTCTCCCAAAGGCTGAGAAGGCTTGCTCTGGTTGTTTAAAGGAGACCAGAATCGGCTCTCTGTCTTCTTATTTTAGTTTAAGGAAATCTGTATGTTGAAGATGGCAGGCTTCAGGCAAAACAAGAGTTTAGGAAAAGTGGCAAAGGGAAAGAGAAGAGCTTCAGAAAACACTCTAAACCATGCTTTGGAGGCCTGCAGGTCTCCCATCTTCCCTATTTCTGCTGCCACACAGGCATCCACTCCTTCAATAAATACCATGTATCTGGAAGGTCTCAGGGAGCTCTGGTGACTTTGTGTTTGTTCTTTGTTGAGAAGACCCGTAGCAGTTGGGTGAACAAGAGATCTGAACCCTGTCCTATCCTGTGCCATCCTCGTCGTATCAATCGCTGCAGTCACTGTTATCAATCCATCTTCCTCCTTTATTCACTAACACTCCATCTTTCCAAGCATAATGTCCCCCTGCAAAGAATAGCCTCTCTTAATAACATGCCCAAAGTATGTGAGACAAAATTTCACCATCTTTGCCTCCAAAGAGCAATCTGGCTGAACTTTTTAAAAGACATTATTTGTTTGGGTTTTGGCATTCCATAGGATATTCAAGTACTTTTCACCAGTACTGTAGCTCAAAGGCATTAACTCTTCTTCTGTCATCCTTATTCATGGACCAGCATACAGATATAATAAAGACCTTGGCCTTAATCAGGTGCACTTTAGTCTCCAAACTGACATCATTGCGTCTTAGTACTTTGGAAAAGTCCCCGACAACAGACTTGCCCAGTGTAGTATGCCTCCTGATCTTCTGACTGCTGGTACCAAGTTTGTTGATTTTGGATCCAAGTAAGATGAAATCATTAACAAATGAAGTCTTTGTTCCTTCTCTCATGATGTTGTTTACGGGTCCAATGGTAAGGATTTTTGCCTTCATGATGTTAAAGTGAAGTCCTCAGGGTACGTGTTAGTCTTTGATCTGCAGTAAGTGTTTCAAGTTCTCCTCACTTTTAGGAAGCAAGGTTGTGTCATCTAAATAACGAGAGCTGTTCATGAGTTTTCCACAAGTCTTGATGCCACATTCATTATACAGCCCAGCTTCTCAAATGATTTGCTCAGGGTACAGATTGAATAAATTTGGAGAAAAGATAAAACCCTGATAAACACCTTTCTTGATTTTTTTAACTATGCAGTGCTTCCTGGTTCTGTTCAGACAATAGCTTCTTAGTATGGGTACAGGTTTCATATGAACATAATTAAGTGTTCTATTATTTCTTTCTTCTCAATGTTAGCTATAATTTGTTATGATCCACACAGTTAAATGCCTTTGCATAGCCAACAAAACACAAATAGACATTCTTCTAGTATTCTCTGTTTTCAGGCAGCAGTGGTTGACATCAGCAATGTATCTCTTCCAGTCAGCCAGGTCAAGGTCTTCCAAATTTCCTGGCATAAACTGGTGAGCATGTCTTGAACTGCATCTATTAGTTGAAACATGTCAATTGGTATTACATTGGTTCCCGGGATCTCTCTCTCTTTTTTTTTTTTTTTTTACACCAAGGTCTTACATATTTATTGAAAACACAGGTGCATAAAAACCACATGCATTCCATGCAAAGTGATCAGAGTGTGACATGATTTTAAACTTGACTTTGACATAGTGAGATACTAACAAACCTACGTTCACATGCTCTGTCATCATGTGTGCGGCTCCATAGAGATCCAGCTTGCTGCTTCTCCAGTGTCTTCTCTTGGAGTTGTACCTGATTTTATTGCCAGTTTTCATTTGAATCCACTGAGGAATGGGACGATTCTGCTTTTGTTTCTTGGCCAGGAAACTCTTGATCCTGTAAGTCTTATGAGAAGACATAGTGAAGACAAAACAGGGCCACACGAAAAACGATGGCCGAGGAAAAGAAAGAAAACCAATTTTTTTCAATACAGTGACTTAGTGTGTTCCTTTCAAATCTTTTGGTTCTTCTTGCATCATTGCATCTTGAAGTCTTACAAGGAATTGTGCTGCCAACACGAAGGTCTGTGGTTCAGACCTACCCACTACTACACGGGAGAAAAATGGGCAGTTCCTTCCGTGCAATTTATGGTATACAGCAACTATGTACAACAACTGGGAAGCTCTGCTGGCCTAGTGGATAGGGAGTTGCACAGTTAACACAGAAAAAGTGGGCAGTTCAAATCTACTAGCTGCTCCACGGAGAAAAGTGGGAAAACCCCAGCATGAAATAGCCTGTGAAAACCGGCTAGAGAGCCGGCTGTAAATCTGTTCGACTTGACAACCATGAGGTTTGGGGTGTTTGTTTTTGTTTTTTTAAGGCCATGAGGTTTTGATTGGGTTTTGAGACTTTCTACTGGTTCCTGTTTGAGGGACTGAGGTCAGAACAATATAAAGACCTTTGACTTCATGTTGTTGACACTCAAGAGGGATGGACAACAAGATAAACAATAAGAAGATTGTAATAGTGCTTTCAAAAAAAAGAATACTATATAACAAGGTACAACTTTTGGCCTCTCTCCTCCATATTTCCTGCCAAGAAGAGAGGGTCAGTCTCTTTGCGGGATGTAATTTTCTAATAAATTTATATTTACTATTTTACTCTCAAAATAAAACCAAACAACACACCACAACTGGGTACAACCTTTGTGGAAAAGTGTGGTAGTTTATTTAAAAAAAAATCGCTAAAAAAACAGAACTGGCACATGGCACAGGAAATCACTCCTTGGTATCTACCTAAAAGACTTGAGAGCAGAGACTCCAACAGATCCTCATATAACAGTGTTTATTGCAGCCCTATTCACAATTGCCAAAGATGGAAACAACCTAAATGTTATTCCAGAGATGAATGGCTAGACAAAATAAGGTACATAGCTGTCATGAGCTACTGCTTAGCCAGCAAGAGAAATGAAGTCTTGACACATGCTACAATATGGATGGAAGGTGAAGACATTGTAATGAATGAAATAAGCCAAAAACAAAAGGACACATACTACATGGTCTCACCTACATAAAATGTCAAGAATAGAGAAATGTTTATGGATCAAACTTTATTAGTGATTACTAGGGACAGGAGGAAGGCAGGTATTGCTTATCGAATACTGACTCACACTACAGTAATGGAAAAATCATACTGTTGTTATTGTTGTTATGTGCCGTCGAGTTGCTTGCGACTCCTAGCGACCCTATGTACAACAGCTCTAAACTCTGCTCTGTCCTGTGCCAATCTCATTGTCTCCGACATACTCATCCCGATTACCCCAGTCACTGAATCAATCCACCTCCCAGAGGGTCTTCCCCTCCTGCGCCTGCCCTCCACCCTTTCAAGCATGATGTCCTTCTCCAAGGACCGGTCCCTCCTTACAACATGTCCAAAGTATGTCAGATGAAGTCTCAGAATGCTTGCCTCCAAGGAGCAGCCTGGTTTAACCCTCTCCAAGATGAATCTGTTTGTTTTCTTAGCAGTCCAAGGTACCCTCAGCACTCTTCTCCAACACCAAAGCTCAAAAGCATCAATTCTCCTCTATCCACCCTGCTCATTGTCCAGGTCTCTGACGCATAACAAATGATTGCAAAGACCATGGCCTGTACCACACGCACCTTAGTCTCCAGAGACACACCGTTGCTTTTCAGTACTTTAGAGAGGTCCCTAACAGCAGACTTTCCCATCGCAATACATCTTTTTATTTCCTGGCTGCTGGTGCCAAGAGTGTTGATTGTAGAGCCAAGCAGACTAAAGTAACAATCTCAATCTCTTCACCATCCATCCAGATGCTGCCAATTGGCCCAGTGGTGAGAATCTTTGTCTTCTTGACATTGAGCCTTAATCCATATTGATGGCTGCACTCCCTGACCCTCAGCAGCAAGCACTTCAGGTCCTCCTCAGTTTCAGCAAGCAGGGTTGTGTCATCTGCATAATGCAGATTGTTGATAGATCTTCTACCAATCCTGATGCCACATTTCTCCTCATAGTGCCCAGCCTCTCAGATAATCTGTTCTGCATACAGGTTGAAAAGATATGGAGAGAGGACACATCCCTGGCGTACGCCCTTCCCAATTTTGAACCATGCAGTGGTTCCTTGCTCTGTTCTGACGACTGTCTCTTGGTTGAAGTATAAGTTTCACATTAGCACAATCAAGTGTTCTGGGATTCCCATTCTTCTCAGAGTCAGCCACAGTTTGTTGTGGTCCACACAGTCAAATGCCTTTGCATAATCAATGAAGCACAGATAGACATTTCTCTGGTATTCCCTGCTTTCAGCCAAGATCCATTTAACATTAGCTACAATATCCCTAGTACCATGACCCCTTCTAAACCCAGGCTGGACTTCTGGCAGTTCTCTGCTGATGTGCAGTTCCA